CCCAGGCGCCCCGAGCAACAAAATTCTTAAAAGCACCTAGTGATAATAAAAAATATTCAAAACCTTTATGACGATACTTAGACACTTTTCTGAACTGAAATATATGTAACTGAAACTGAAAGATATATAAACATAATTCAAGATATGCATATATAGAAAAGTATCACATATCATAAAGATGGCTATTCTTTCCAAATTAACTTGAAGGTATTAAGACTCACCCATCAAAAACCCTAACCATTTATATTTTGGAACCTGACAAAATGATTCAAGTTTGTTTGAGAAGAGAAGAGATAAATATATAATATATATATATATATATATATATATACACAAAAGATGATGTGGACCTTTACTACACAAATAGGAGAGCTCACGACAAAGCTACAATCCTTAAATAATATGGCGTGTTGATGGACAGAATGATGAAACAGGATAGACGCTTTGAGGTAGTCTGAGAACTCAGAATTTTGAATGTGGTGGAGGAAACATCACAGACCAGTGAGGGAAAGGGCCCATGGCTCACTAAAACATGTCATGTCCACTGGTTACTTGGCAACCAAAGAAATCAAATATTCCCTGCCATAGTAGTTTCTGTGGGTTTTCCTTGCTCAGGAGTCCACACTTACGGTAAGCCCTCTGGCTGCATAGCCATCAACCAAAGTATCTCCCACCCTCCCAGGGGTGGGCACAAGACTCGGGCTGGGCAAAATAATCAAGCTCGGTGGCTCCAGTGAGGGACTCAGAGATCGGCACAGGATCCAAACAGGGCTCACCAGAGTCCCTTGAAGGAATCAGATCTACGGAGCTGAGAAGCGCGGGGAGGGTGTCTCTTCCTCCTGGAAGATTCATGAAGTCGTGGGCATGGAGACCGCCCTTGCAGCCATACAATGAAAACCCGTGCGAGAGAGGAGTTAATATTCAGAAGAAAACAGAGCCGTGATAGGAGAGAGAGTTCCATCACCGATCTCTCCCCATCCAGGCCCCGGGGCTGGACTCATTTCCTAGGCACATGAGGTAACAATTCCTCCCTCTGTTTACCTTAGTTAGGGTTTGGCTTCTAGCGCTTGTAACCAAAAATGTTGTGGTAAAAACACTCCCTCTACTCAAAAGTCCAAAAGTTCACCCAAGAATTTTAAAAGAGAAAGGGGAAAATAAAACAAAAGAAGCTGCGGTAAAATCCAGGTGAATATGGAGCTGATCTTGAAATGAGCAGGGACTTTCTAAGCATAAAAGTAATAAAATGGGCAGGAACAGTGATAAATAATTCACAGGACAGGAAAATCTACTAGCCAATGAGCACACAAAAATGCTAAAGTCTGTGAGTAATTAAGGACATCCAAATCCAAATGAGATCCCATTCTGACTTATAAAATAACATTTTTGACCATGAAACTTAATGCTGGTGAGGATGTTGCGAGGTAAACATTCTCATAAACCGCTGGTGAGAGTGGGAACAATATTGGTTTCAAGAATAATTTTAAAGTCTGTGTCACCTAATTACCCTGCCTCTTGGCCTGTCTCCTGGGGAAATATTAGGAAACGCAGCACAAAGTTATTTATAAGCAAGTTCATGGCAGATTTATTTTCAAGAGTAAAAGCTTAGGTGTGACTGAAACATTTTATAACATGGCTCTGTTACGTAAATTATGGGAGACTTGGAAGGAGAAGGTAAGTCGGCTCTTAGAGTGTTTCAGAAGAATGTTGTGAGAATATGCCCATGATATAATGTTATGTAAAAAAAAAAAAAAAAAAACAAAAAACTATGGTATTTTATATACAGCACAGGATTGCAATTTCATTTTGTCAACATCCACACGCAGAAGGAAACGGACTAGATATTAACAATGGTTACCTCTGGGCGACTTTATCGTCTTTGCTTACAGAGTACTAAGTTTTTCCGACAAAAAACTGCAGATGAAGACTTAGGAAGTGTAGGACTTGTGCTGCGTCCTTGTCCGGCAAATCCCCTTCCAAGACTCTTGGGTCAATTAAATCTCACCTACTCGCAGCAGTTCCTGAGATATTAAGAGGTACTCAAACTTGATAAGCAGCTGATTAGTACTTAACGCAGCAGCACGGGGCTGAAAGGGGCGTCTGTGTGTGAAGGTGAGTTGAGGGAAGAGGAGGTCATCCAAAGGTTGAGAAACAACTTATGCGAATTGCTTTTGTACAGGCTGAAAAGACATTTCCATTTAGTTCTTCAGCTCAGTGCTACGCCAGAGTCCTGCGAATATATCGTAGCTACTTATAAATTCAGGTCCCATCCGGGCACTGGGAAATTCCAAAGAAATAGGCATAATCAGTCGGAGGTACTGTAATGCGGCTATGCTTTTAATGAATGTGCAAAGGTTTTATGGATCAATTGTCCATTTGATTAATTCCTGTGGCAGAAGAGAATTAAATGTACTTAAGCTACACACCGGACAAGGCTGAATGCTCTTTAAAATGTGATTTTCTGTGTTAAGGCCTTTTTTTTTTTTTTTTTTCCCCGGGAAAAACATTTCGAGATAATAATGGAAGTCAATGAGAAAATGGAATTTTACATATAAATATTCACTACATACCACTTTGTCAGAAAAGCATCTAAAGAGCCAAACGAGGTCAAGGTCTATACAGTATTCACCATTATTTGTGTTAAGTCCTCCTTTCTAGTTTTTTTTTTTTTTTTTTTTTTTTTGCATCGTTTCATAGGAGGGGTGATAAAATCCTGTTTTGGAGAGAATTCCTTGCCAGAGCTTTACCCTCTCCCTTTCCAGAGGCCTTCAGCATTCGGGTACTAGAGACTTCTAAATCCAAAAGAGGTAATTATCTTCAACGCTGGGGCGGGCATGACGACCCAGGGAAAAGAAAAAAGTCTTAGACTTTTTATCACTTGGAATGATCGTGTCTGCTATGTCCATGGAAAGGAAGGAGATATTCTGACTTGGGATGGAGAAGTTGGGGTGCATTGTGTCAGAAATCGTTCCACTGAATTCGGTCAAGGCGTGAACTTGAATGCCTATCACAGCGCCGGGTCCCTTGGGGTAGAAGAGCGAGTACACTGAAGTCAACGTTACCACGGAGCATTACAGTCTAGAGTCAGAGGCGGACATTCGTCGAACTGCTCAGATACAGAACAGCTTCGTGATTCTGTTGCGAGCGTTAGGAATTCCCAAACTATTAGCTTATATTCCAAGGCTGGCAGGAAAACTCGCTGCAAGAGAGAATCCTGGACCCCATTTCCTTCCTGTTTAGGGTGCGTGTCTTGCTGAGAATAACCACGACACACAAGAGGGTCCGCTCTGAATGAAGCCTGACGCGGGAACACTTTCCCCTTTGGCCCGCAGTGAATGAGCGCCTCTAATGGACTGATACCAAGTGAAGGCCCAGTGCAACCCTAAGGTGCCCGAACACTCTGAGTTGCTGTTGCCGATACTGTCCCAGCTGCAGAGAAACCCGCATCTCCCTCTGAACAGGTGTTATCTGCCTTTCGTCCAAAGCTGGGGCAGGGAGGAGTATCGGTCCCCGCATCAGGGCAGAGGACAGAGTAGCTTTGGGAGCTTTGGGAGCCAAGGCAGAGAGTCCTGTGTGGATCCCCCTCCTGAGTCAACCTCCTATTCTTAATTCTATTCTTACCACAGAGGTCTTCAATATTCAAGCACCACTCATTCCTTCGACAGGTATCAATTCCAACATCTAGCAGGTGGCTGGTGACATAGCAACAAGTAAGACAGACAGAGCTCCCTGACTGCAAAGAGCTCCCATTCCTAAGTGTGGGGGAGAGTGACCTGAGACAGCGATGCGACCTCTGCGGGCTCCCACAAAAAATGAAAGCAGAGAAAGACAAGAGCAAACGTGGAATGGACCCTGGGTGGAAGATCCTTCCAGGCTGGGCAGGAAACCGAACTAAGGAAAGGAACAGCATGGGGGCGGGGGGAAGAGATCAACCATGAGGTCCTGCTCTGTGGATGATGTTGGGATTTTCCCACATCCCAGGTCATGCCGCGAATGCCGCGATCGCAACCCCATTCAATGTTCCTTGGAGATACATCTGAGGATTTGGCCAGAATACAGGTGGGAACGCTTAAAAACAGGCAGGGGGGAAATTCAGTAAGAGATGACACAGATTCTACGTGGCCGCTCTAGCCTTCACCACTGATGACAATCTTTTCACCGTCTACAAGTCACTTATTTGGAATAAGCCGGCCATTCAGACATGCAGCTCTTTGGAGAAGAGATTTAGTGCTCAATGAAATTATACGGGAAAAGGGCACCAGCTCATAGCAGAATTTACGGAAATCTCAACAGAATTAAAATATCCCGTCCTCGCTCTCCTTTGCCCACGCTGTGCTCTCAGATAAGTCTCCATGAAATACAGTTCCCATCGTTTTATTCGGCTGATGAAAAATTTTCAATAGTTTATCGCTACTTACTGGCTAAAAAAATGTATGCTGCATATTTATAGCCTGACTCGGACCCACCTTACCAGGCTTATGGCCAACCACATCGCCCCCCAAGTCAAGCGTCTCCCCCTCTTCCAGGAACATATCTTGGGTTTTCCCCATTTCCAGCCTTCTATACACAAAACTCCACTTTCCGGAATTCTTATCAGTAGTTTTTTTTGGTTTTGTTTTCGATTCTGGGGATCCCAGACCAGTTTAACAAGTAACTGCCTCCATTTCATAGATGAGAAAAACCAAGCATTAGGTCAAGTTTTTCAAGGTCAAGTAGCCGGTATGTGTTAGAGCTGGTGTGAGAACCCAGGGGTATGGGATTCTCCCCTAGTAAATTCCTCAAAAAAAATAAATAAATAAATAAAATAAAATCACAGCTCACGGATTTGCCCTGAGAAGGGTTCTGCCCTTCCTCCTTCAAGTTTTATTTTTACGTGTGTTGTGTGGGCAGGGGCTCCCTCCCTACAGCTCTGTGGGCAACTAGCAAGGGGCAGCGGCCCCGTTAAGACGGCCTGACCCGGACACCAATCGGGTTCTCTGTGAGTGGCTGATGCCAGTGCTCACCGGTCTGTCAAAGGCGTGATCACCAGGCGAGGCGTATTTCCCAGGTACTCGTAGGAATATAGAAACTGCGCATCACAGATGTTGGCAAAGCAGTGTTTGGCCTCGTCGTCCCAACGGTGCCGCAGCTGGGACAGCCAGAGGAAGGCCTGAGCATTGTCCACCTGAAGAGAGAGCGCAGAGGAGGGGGCTCAATCGCCGTGCCGCCGGTGGCCCCTTGGCCACAGGCCACGCGGGGCTCTGGATGAGCTGGGTTTTGCCTACCGGTCAGGAGTCCATGCTGCGCCCACCACAGCACAGAGAGCATGCTAATTACACACGTTCGCTGGGAGCAGCCACCATGACCCTCCCCCAGCTCTCTGGCCGGGGCAGAGTCTGGGACCCCCATGTGTGGGCTGTATGCGAGCTTCTCCCTTATCCCACCGTTCACGGTGTAGCTGGCGGCAAAGAGGGACGCTCCCGAATGTTTGGGACTCACCTTCTGAGCGATCATCTTGGCCACCACATCCCGGGCGTGCACATCAACGGTGCATATGGTCATAATCTTCTGCCGGTCCCCTTCGGAGAGCTGGCCGAGTAACATGGTGATGAGGGTTTTGAGCTGCACCACTTGCTTCCTGTAATAGTCCTTCATGGCGTTCTCGTAGCCTTCCTCCAGCCTGGCAAACGCAATGCCCACCTCCGTGGTCCACCAGATCTGAGTGCAGGTCAGGGCCACCTGTGGCACCAGGAGCTGCTTAGTAAAGCCATTACCAGGACTGTCTCCAAAGCCAGCCCACTCATCACACAGCGAGAGTCAGCATGCAATTGTGTGGGTGACCTCAGCCCCTTCCCTCCCTCTTCTACCAGCACTGACAAAGTGAGCCACTGGCCTCTGTCTCCTTGGAGATGTGAAGTGGTTCCAAGCGGGGAAAGCACTTTCTGCTGTGGAAAAAAAATGTATCGTTTGGTTGAAAACAACCAAAGAGTCCCCCTGGTCAATGTCAGTGGCTTTTAGAAATTGCTACTCTGATCTCTCCACCTTTACTCCCCAGGCAAAGCATCGTTCCTGGGCTTGGGAGGTTAACAATATGTTGATTGAACATCTCAACAACACTTGGTCTTTGTTCTGTTCTTCTTAAACTTCCCGCGGTCTGAGTGTTCTAGCTTAGTGAGCCTCTGATGATCATTTGCGGCGTATTTTTGCTTGCCCGTAACGCTTTGGCTGTGTATGGTTTTTACTTCTCGGACCCTATAACCTTGAAAAGCCTACTCCTGGAGACCAAGGTGAATTGCAGCAAAATTCAACGTGGTCAGTGGGATTTGTGTTTTTCAGAGAGTCAAAATAAAGGAATGGAAGAAGGGATTTGAACAAACACGACTTCCGTTTGCTGAGCAACCTGATACGGAAAATGCGTAATTCGAATTATTCACGGTGGAGGCTTCAGACGCACCGATCGTCTGTAGCATCCTGTGGTTGGGGAGACACTGCTCTAGATGAGACCTGTCGCAAGAGCAGGAGGCGACACATTTTCTTGCCTCAAAAGTCTGATTCAGGTAAACAAAGAATCCTGATGGGGATCATTCCCTTTGTCAAACAGAGAATCCTGTCGTAGTAAAAAGGACCATTCCCGCCTTTGGGATCCGGTGCGTGGGGTTTGGCCAGAGATCTTGCTGGGATGCTTTGAACGCGATGCACCCATTGCATCGTCACAAGAATCCTTGCAGTAGTCCCTATTTCTCGTTTCTGTTAGTCTACACTCGCTGCCGACATTTCCTCACCTCTTCTTCTCCCTTCTCTGCCCCCTGCAATGCGCCACCACCTTGCACTCCATGGACGTGGCCACACCAAGCTCACGGACACTCCCCAGCCTCTTTATTTTCCTTGATCTCTTACAAGCGGGTGGCATGGCTGACCTCTGGCCGGCTTTTGGTTTCCATTGCGACCATCCCCTGGTGTTCCTTCTACCTGAAAAGGCACCGTTTCTCAATCTGCTTTACTGGCTCCTCCTTGGCTATCCAGTCTTTACATGATGCCCAAGGGACTGACTCTTCTGCACCCTCATCTTGGGTCTGCGTCTTTTCCAAGACCAGTCTTCTCTACTCCTGTGGCTTCATTCCCGGTAAGTGCCTGCAACCCTCAAACACCCCAGCTCGGGCACTGTGCCCCTAACGGGGGGGTGGGGAGTGGGGGGAGGGTCTACTGCAGCCATTTCTCATTAATTTGCCCCTTTCCCTCCTCGCCCTCCTGGGAAGCCTGGAAAGGATTCGGACACATTTTAGAAGCAAGTCAGACTCCCTAACGGGGTGGGTAAGAACTGGCTTTCAAGTTTCCTCTGTAGGAACCATCAGCTGGCTCAGGCTCCTTCTCTCCCTTCTTGCTGCAAACCACACTCAGTTCTTCAACCACAGGATGCTCTTCCTTGCCTCTGAGCTCAAGGTCCTCCCCATACTGGTTGCTCTTTCCCGCCATCGTTAACTTGTTAGCTCCTACTTCAAATCTCAGCTTACATATCATATCCTTGGCAGAGGTGGGGAGGGCTCCCCAGACCCCACCAGCTAGCTATGTGTTCATTTGTAAGCGAGTTGGCTTCCCTGCCGAGTCTGTAAACTCCGGCAAGGCAGGGTTATGAGGTCTCGTTCCCTGTTGGGGTCCCCTGTGCTCAGCAAAGATCTCGGCATATACAAAGCAGGCTGGCTCAGTGAGTTGAATGGTTTACGTTTTCTCCCTATGGTGGCCAGAGAGGGTAAAAACGGACAATCCCAGGTTCTCCAGGGTAATGGGTGGACTAAGTCTTAGTTGACAATTCAGAGACCAGGCCTTCTGGACTGTGAGGCACATAGTGAGTTTGAGGTCTGGTATCCCCTCAAGGCCGAAGGACTTCCCTGAGGGAGGGGACCTGGCAAGGAGGGGGGCCCACAAAGCTCCTGGTTGGAATACCTGAGCTGGATAGTCAAAGAGCCACTGTTCCCTTGGCTTTTCTTCATAAGCAGCTACACCTTCGGTCATCCCATGCCTCACTGTGGCCTTCATATGCGCGAGCACATGGTTCAACCATATTTCCACCTGAAAGAAGAACTCCAAGTTAGATGCTGGATTCCGGAAAGGATACGATCGCTCACCCAGAGGGAGACAAGAATATGGAGCCCAGCCATCGGCCCAATGGCCGCCAGAAGGCACAGGGAGCCGTCTTGTTTCTGTGGCCCAGGATGGTGGTCGGTGAGAACCAGGCTCAATTAACAACAGGTGGACAGGCCCCTTTGGAACACACAGGACACAGTAGCTGGTCAAGGGGAGGGGAGCTGCCATCTGGCATTCAGACAAGGAAGTGTTAGTCTGGGCTAAGCAAGGTCAACCTCGCTCAGTCAGTGGGTTTTCATAACCTGTCCACACTCAGTATGGAGATGTAAACCAGAATTATATTTTCCAACTGAATGCCTTCTGGTCAAAAAACAGACACATAGCTTATACTCTAGTGGTGATGGGGGAGGCTAGGAAGGAAGTTTTAGGAGAGAGTGCCCCATATTTTGTGTTTCTGGAATTGTACACGGGACATTTAGAAGTAGTAGTTCTTGGAGCACGATGGTATTTGGCTCTCCCAGGGGTAGGACTGTGGGAGGAAGTGACTCTGAGCGGTATTTGTACAGAGAAATGACATCCCAGGAAAACGGCTGATCTCAAAGACCGTCTTCTCCAGGGGAAGACGTCAGTGTGCCAATGGGGTGCCCCAGGGGTTGTCACGTTAAAGTCTCCTGGTGCTGCTAATCATTTAAAAATTCTTTTCTCCTCGACTTGGGTAGTTGTTTATGCGCATTTCATTCCTCTCTGCACAGGTCTTTGGTTAAGAAAGATATACGAATATTGACGTGTGTCCTTCCCAGAGATGGGAGGGCAGGCACCAGGAGCTCCTCCAACGTCGGTTCGAGAGGAGCTGGCAGTCCCAGGGCCCAGACAGCAGTTCCGGCCCAAGGTTGAAATGGCCATCCTGAAAGTTGAGGTTGCCTGATACTTGTGAGAGAACGGGATGAGGAGGGCAAAGGACTTCTACTCTACCTGGCCACTGCAGTCACAGGGCTCGCTGAAGGCCACGTACTCTCCTTCCTTGCTGTACATGCCCAGACTTATCTTGGTCGCTTTCTCACTGGCGTCCAGCTGGAATTCCATCTTGGCCATGTTGTCAAAGAGTTTGGAAAGATGGCGTTGAACCTAAGATGGGAAACCACACCACAGGACTGGAGAACGTGTCCGGGCAGACGCTCATCGGTACCGTGCAGAGGTCTACTGCGTGCCAGCCATTAGAGAGACGGTTACCAAACATTTACAGGGAAGCTTGTGGAACAGTGGTGGGGTGGTATGAGGTCGGAACCAAATGAATTGGGTAGAAGTGGTCAAGGGAACACGGAATTAGTGGGAATCGTGGCCGCAAAAGTTTCACGAATGTCTGCTTGAACTAAACGGGAACAGACTGGAAGGAAAAAAATGATGGTTAATTCCTAAACCCTCCTCCTCAGAAAATGCTACCCTGCGGCAGAAGGGCGACGGTGGTGGCGGTGGCCTGTGGAAGAAGTCACCCGGCTGTTGAAACCACTTAGGCGCAGGAGACCTGTACCTGGTTCTCCCTCGCCATGTCGTCTCATGACACAGAGGCCCCTTTCCAGTAGCGCCCTGGGTGGCTGTTCCAGGAGGGTTCCCAGAGAGCCACGCCGTGGTCCTGACATGAGGGAAATGGCAGGCTGAAGAGGGAAAAAATAAGCAGAAAGCTCTCTGAGATACTTTCTGAGAAAGCTTTCTGAGATACAGGGCCTCCAGGGTATGCGGACCAGAGCTGTAATCCTAAATTTACCATAACCAGCTCCCCAGCTAATGACAGGAGAGGAAAAACTCCACGTGTTAAAGTAAACACACTGTGAGGGCACCAGAGGGGGTGACTTGGGATGAATATCTTGATGCGAGGGAACCTTCTTTATCAGAGAGAAGGGGGGGGAGGGGCACAGAGGGGAGGGGGAGAGGAGGCGGGAGAGAGAAAGAGAAGCTTTAATAAAGGAAACAGAAGTGATTATGAAAAAGGCCACCTTGTTTGCAATTAAATGAAAGAAACACGAACGCGATGAAGTAGGAGGTAGAGATGAACGGGTAGTGGTAGGAAAATGATGTAAGGGGACAACAAATACTTAAGAACCAAATCAACACAGATGAATGAAATACGGTGGATGGGCTTGAGAAGCCACGGAAGGACACCAAGGAAGAGAGGTAACAGCTGAAAGTGTGGGGCGCCTGGGTGGCTCAGTCGGTTGAGGACCTGAGTCTTGATCTCGGCTCAGATCGTGATCCCAGGGTTATGGGATCGAGCCCTGTGTTGGGATCTGCACTGACAGCAAGCAGCCTGCTTGAGATCCTCTCTCTCTCTCCCTCTCTGCCCCTCCCCTGCTCATGCTTTGTCTCTTTCAAAAATAAACTCAAAAAAAATTTTTTTTAAAATATGTATGAACATATGAAGGTAATGTTATATTGTACAGAGAAAATAGAATCCTAGCTTATGGAAATCTGATGAACTTAAAGGGAAAAAATCCAGATAAATGGAATATAAATATTATTTTAAGGCATATAGGAATAGGGGCGCCTGGGTGGCTCAGTCAGTTAATCATCCAACTTTGGCTCAGGTCATGATCTCGTGGTTCATGGGTTTGAGTCCCACGTCGGGCTCTGTGCTGACAGCTCAGAGCCTGGAGCCTGCTTTGGATTCTGTCTCCCTCTCTCTGCCTGTCCTCCACTTGTGCGTGCTCTCTCTCTCTCTCAAAATTAAACAATCGCTAAAAAAATTTAAAGCGCATAGAAAGAAAACCTTTTCAAGATAATGACCCTGGTTTTCAGATAGGAAAAAAAAAAAAACCTCGTCAAATATTGGAAAAATTAACAAAGCAAGTATATAAACGTATACAAACTTTCTAAAATTAAACTTTAAATTTTGATCTCTACGGAGATCCAAATAGAAACAAATGAGGTTACCTAGAAAGGTCTGGGGGGAATAAAGCAGGTGGACCTCAGATGATGTCTCAGAGCTACATCTGGGGGGATTTGAGAAGAAAGTGCTGTGACACACAGGAGTTCCAAACTCGACCGTTCAATCGCTCACCTGTAAAAACTACCAGAGTCGCAGATAGAGAAGGACGTGGGGATTAGTCTACTAACCTTCATCTCTCAGGATGGTGGGGAGGGAGGAGCTACTTAAAGATTTACTCACACCAAGCAAGACAAATAAAGATAAGTATTTAGGGGGCGCCTGGGTGGCTCAGTCGATTAAGCGTCCAACTTCAGCTCAGGTCATGACCTCGCGATCCGTGGGTTCGAGCCCTGCGTCGGGCTCTGTGCTGACACCTTGGAGCCTGGAGCCTGCTTCAGATTCTGTGTCTCCCTCTCTCTCTGCCCCTCCCTTGCTTGTGCTCTGTCTCTCTCTCTCTCAAAAATGAGTAAATGTTAAAAAAATATATAAGTATTTAAGAATGAGCACATCATGTACAAAAGGTCTGGCAACGATCTTTGACTTTCCCTACGCGTGGAATTAATGAACATACAGCTACAAAACAGAATGCCGGTGTGATAAATGTCTCAACCCCGATATGCGTGGGCTACTCTGGAACTATTCCGGAAAACTATATAGGGGAACAAGAGAAAGGTGGGTTTTAACTCTAGGGATGATCTGTGTTTGGTACATGCTTCTCACCAACAAACCAAAAATATAATTCCAGGGAGGTGGAAAGTTAACGACGAAGATGACAAACTAATGCACGGCTGTCATCTTTAGGCTCCATGAGAGCCGCTCTCCTCTGTTGCTGGTGGTGAGACAACAGGCTGTTTCCCCACGGAGGGAAATAGGGCCACCTCTAAACCTGACCGCATAGCATTTACCGTGACCCAGAAAAATCCCACTTCTAGGCATTTGCCTGGAAGGCAGACCCCCAACAATACAAAACCCAAAGTTATTCGCTGGCACAGGATTTGTAATTGCAAAATTGTATCAGCAACCTTTGGCCAAACTGTGGCATCGTCCAGGGAGTTAGGATGCAGGTGTATTAAAAAAAAAATGAGTGGGGGGAGGGGCGCCTGGGTGGCTCAGTCGGTTAAGCGTCTGACTTCGGCTCAGGTCATGATCTCACAGCTCGTGAGTTCGAGCCCCACGTCGGGCTCTGTGCTGACAGCTCAGAGCCTGGAGCCTGCTTCGGATTCTGCGTCTCCCTCTCTCTCTCTGCCCTTCCTCTGCTTGGCACACGCTCTCTCTTAAAAATAAATAAACATTAAAAACAAAAAACAAAAAATGAGGGCCGTGCCTTTAAATTGATATGGAGTGATTTCCAGGATATGTAACGACATAAAAAACCGCTTTCAAGTATACATAGCAGGCTCCCTTTTGTGTGAGAAAGGAGGGTAAATTAGAAAACCACACGGGCAAATATAAACGAACATTTGCTTGTTTCTTGCAAAGGAAAGCCAGAAACTAGTGGGGTCTGTGACCTACAGGGAGTGGAGGGGGGAAGTACAGGAGGGGCATTTCCAACATACCTTTTTGCACATCTTGACTCTTAGAATGCTACGTATTCAAACAATCCAATCAACAGGGATGGGAAGAAAAAACAAAAACAAAAACAGAAACAAAAACTAAAAGCCAAGAGAAATACCTGAGCCCAACCATACTTCAGGTGAGGTACAAAAATCACACTGAAGGGCGGGACAGAACTCATCCAAGTAACTTCTGAACACGGTACTCCGACCGGATATGCTCCGTCAAAGGAAAAGTGGAGAACTACATACACACAGATCTTGGCGTCTTCTCAGGGTGCCACCTGGTGGAGACACCATCCCCCCGTCCTACCTGTCACTTGGAGACGCAGACCTAGGGTCTAGGACAGTCCTTCTCGAAGGGTGGTCCCGAGACCGCCAGCATCACTTGGGGAATCCTTAGAAATGCAACCTCTCCAGCCCCACCTGGACCTACAGGCTCATCTGAAACCCTGGGGCCCAGGAATCTGAATTTTAACAAGCGTTCCAGGTGACTCTGATGCACCTGAGCCCCCAGGTGACGCTCATGTTTGAGAACTGCTGTCTACAGCTCCAAGAACCAGTGGGACTTTCATATTAAAGGGGGGGGGGGAAGGCCGTACCACAGTAGCCTTCTCCTATCTTATAAATGAGGAAATTTCGCCAAAGAGAAGGGACTCGCAAGACCACACGGCCAACAAGTGGCTAGAACCAGGGGCCAGGACTCCAAATTTTGAGCTCCTTGTGTATACTTTTTCCGCACACACAAAAATCACAAAATGCCAAGTTAATACAACCTTCAGTCTTCTCTCCCCTGGAAACGTTTGCTGTAACTTTTGCTAGCACCTACCTGGATCTCTCTTCAGAATCCGATCAAAGGCACGCTCCTGTGAAGGCTTAGACCCCTCCACCTTCCCCATCCTTGAAGCTTCCCCTTTCGGGGGTTAGAGCCACTGATGGGCCGGGGGCTCCCCGAGAAGCCTAACCATAAACGTGGAAGATGCTGGGGGGTGAGGTGGGGGGGGGGGGAACGTGGGTCTGAAATACGCACCCTGCCAGAGAGAGGAGGCATAATGGGGAATCTGACACCTTCCCACTTGGGAGCCCCCTCAGACTTTCTGGACGCTTCCACGAGCGCTCCCTCCGCTTACCTCTTGAGGAGCTGTGCCGTTGGAAAGGATGTCTAACAGGTCAGAAGAGGACAGAAAGTAAAACCTAGGGAAGGCAAGCCTTTTCGTCTCCAGGTACTCTGCCAGGGCCTTCTCACACAGGTGCAATCTGAGGGCACAGACATAGGATTTTGTAATTAAGTTTGCTTAGGCGCATAGGTGCGTAGACACGACCCAAAGGCAGACAGAGGGAGGACACGGAACGCGTATGGAAATCAGTGCCAGGGGCACCTGGGTGGCGCAGTCGGTTAAGTGTCCGACTTCAGCCAGGTCACGATCTCGCGGTCCGGGAGTTCGAGCCCCGCGTCAGGCTCTGGGCTGATGGCTCGGAGCCTGGAGCCTGATTCCGGTTCTGTGTCTCCCTCTCTCTCTGCCCCTCCCCCGTTCATGCTCTGTCTCTCTCTGTCCCAAAAATAAATAAACGTTGAAAAAAAAAAAAAAAGAAATCAGTGCCAGAAACACTGAGGGTATTCGCGAATATACGCACTGGTGCATTTCCACCCAAACAAGCGCTTCTCATAATACCCCATGTTACCTAACATACCAGAAAATCGAAGCACACACACATACACACACACACACTTTCTTGGATAGCTGAAGACAGTAAGGGTCTCAGAGAATGGGGAAAAGGTACCATCACCTTCCCCGGTATAAAGGGGGGGGGGGGCCGAAGCAAGCAGACCATCACCTGCTCTGAAGACCTTCCAGTTTTTCGTAAAGACCTGGTTTATTGGTGGCCTCCAAGACATTTGGAGTTTTCTGGGCATCGTAAGCCAGCTCTTTAAAGTCCACGTCAATGCCTTCAAATCTTTCAGAATCCTGAAATTAAAACGTGGGGGGAGGGGCGCTTGGGTGGCTCAGTCGGTTGAGCGGCCGACTTCGGCTCAGGTCATGATCTCGAGGTCCGTGAGTTCGAGCCCCGCGTCGGGCTCTGTGCTGACAGCTCGGAGCCTGGAGCCTGTTTCAGATTCTGTGTCTCCCTCACTCTGACCCTCCCCTGTTCATGCTCTGTCTCTCTCTGTCTCAAAAATAAATAAACGTTAAAAAAATTTTTTTTTAAAAATACGTGGGGGGAAATTCACCACTGCTTTCTCAGACTCGAAGAAGGTCCCCTCATCTGCAGCAATTCAGAACCAGAAACCGGTCCTTGGGGGAGGCCCTAAAAACTTCAACAAGGAAATACTCTTGGCTTGAAACAGCAGTTCCTGCACATTTGGGCCACAAAATCCCTCCCTCTGTGTTTTGCAAAAATCGGCGAGGAGTGCAAAGAGCTTTTTGCGTATGTGGCTAATTTAGCCCTCAGTGCATTTTCTCTGTTGGAAGCTGACGTTGACAGATTGAAAAAATATTTTGTTAATTCATTTGAAGAATAATGATATTAAGCCCACGATGGTAACCTGATAATATACTTGTCTCTAACATAATTGTATTTTCCAAAACAAAATAACTTAGAGAGGAGGTGACATTGTTTCACTTTTGTTTTTTCCTCCCCAAAGTTAATGTCTGACTTGGAACGTGACCAGGTTTTCTTTCCTGCTCTGCATTCGATCTGTCGTGATGTCACGTATCATAGAGCCTCTGGGGAACTCCCGTGTGCGCCCGGAAAAATCTGAGCGGAAAAGGCAAACAGCATCTTAGCCCTATTCTTTTTTTTTTTTTTTTTTTAATTTTTTTTCAACATTTATTTATTTTTTGGGACAGAGAGAGACAGAGCATGAACGGGGGAGGGGCAGAGAGAGAGGGAGACACAGAATCGGAAACAGGCTCCAGGCTCCGAGCCATCAGCCCAGAGCCTGACGCGGGGCTCGAACTCACGCACCGCGAGATCGTGACCTGGCTGAAGTCGGACGCTTAACCGACTGCGCCACCCAGGCGCCCCTTAGCCCTATTCTTAAGACAGGTTTGACCCTGAGGATCCCCTACAAAGGTCAGGGTCCCCGGACCATACTTTGAGAACCGTCGGCATAAAACACACACTTCCTACATCAGGTGGACGGTGGGCGGGTCCGCTGCCTTCCCTGGGTCCGTGCTAAAGTTTACGTAACCAAAGTAAGACGTTCTTCGGCAAACGTGAGGTCAAACGAATCAGTTACCACCATGTCCTTCAAACACACACAGTGAGGAACAACATCACTGACATGGTCGAGACAATAATATGTGCAGAGTTTAGCTCAACACCTGGCACCTGGCGAAAGCTTGTGGTATTTTTAGCACACGGCAACGATCACAACGGTATATGCTGTGTGCAGTGTTCAGTTACATCCCTGAAGTAGGTACTGGTTATTTGTCCCAGTTCGCGGGAGGAAACCAGGGCACAGGGAGGTTAAGCAACTTGCCCAAGATCCCACAGCTTCAAGAGACAGAGCTGAAACTCAGCCTGCCCCGCCCACCTGGGTCTGCTCTGAACATCTTCAATCCACACCCCTCTCCAAGAAGATTTAGAAATAGGGGGGCTGGGGACATTATGTTTGCTCAGTGAGGTATCTTGTTCCCGTGAGAGGTGTGGGAGTCTCAAGGTTTCATCAGAAGTATGAAGTACGGAGCACGAGTGCTCCTGTGGAAAGAGCTGGAAAGAAAATTGATATCCTGCAGAGGGCAACTGTACAGAAATGCCTGTGTGTGTCAAGCCAAGTTGGGAAATGTTTCTAATGAATGAAAATAGTTACCAGTTAGGGTGTAAGATTATGACCGGTTTTATTATGTTTTCAAATTGTCTCTATTATTGCACTGTTAATACAAAAAAAAAAAAATTAAATGTGTTCGCATACTTCACACACAAACCCTTGCCACGGAGAAGGTAATGACACCAATTCTTTCTGGTGCATAGTTGGGAGTTCTCAGATGCCTCCTCTGTCTCTACCAAAGTCTCCACTGATTTCCGTGCCCCCCCCCCCAATTAAACCTGCTCTTCTCCACTCACTAGCACTGCAGAGAAAGAAAATCTGGCTTATTCCATGGGGCCTGATGACAACCTGTCTATCAGAATTGTTTTCTGTTTTTTTATTAAAAAAATTTTTTTTTGTTGTTTATTTATTTTTGAGAGAGACAGAGACAGAATGTGAGTGGGTTGGGGCAGAGACAGAGGGAGACACAGAATCCGAAGCGGGCTCCAGGCTCCGAGCTGTCGGCACAGAGCCCGACGCGGGGCTCGAACTCATGAACCGCGAGATCGTGCCCTGAGCCGACTGAGCCACCCAGGCGCCCCAGTTTTCTGCTGTTTTTCGTTCCGGATGTACGACCTTCCATCTGCAGTCGGACATTAGATATGCTTTTTGAGGGGCGAGCTGGAAAAATACAACGTTTTGATGGGGGGCGCGTCAACTTTTAAGGGAGATCTGCACAATGCGTGACATTTTGGAAACAAACTGATTTGTAGGCAAAGAGCTTTCTGTGCTGAGGGGGTACAGAGAAACAGAGAACTCTGCAAAAAAAAAAATCCAATGAATATGAGTCCACTGAGAGGTGGGTAAGTTAATGGCACATTAATTAAGACAAATTAGAAGGGGCAATCAACCACAGGGAAGGTAGTAATGAGAAGAATGTACAGTTCACAGAAATTCGCTGCTGAGGATTTAGCTGCAGACTGGTGTTTCGCAGGCAGTACAGGCCAGAGGTCTCACAGCTCAAGAAGGAACTTGAATTTGCCCGGAAACAAATGCTCACTCCCAGTTGACAACTGCACTGTAATTGTCTGTGGAGCGGCTCGTGACTGGCTCATTCCAAACTTCAGGAGCTGATAGTCTCCATTTCCTTTCTTTTTTTCTTTTTTTTAAACGTTTATTTTTGAGACAGAGAGAGACAGAGCATGAGCAGGGGTGGGGCAGAGAGAGAGGGAGACACAGAATCCGAAGCAGGCTCCAGGCTCTGAGCCATGAGCACAGAGCCCGACGCGGGGCTCGAACTCATGGACCGTGAGATCATGACCTGAGCCGAAGTCAGAGGCTCAAATGACTGAGCCACCCAGGCGCCCCTCCATTTCCTTTCTTAAATACACGTTAAAACAACACCAATCGACCCTCCTTTCTTTTTCCCAGCCATCCAGGGACACACTGATGGGTGTGCATTTCCCTTTCTCTCTTTCCCTCTGCCTGACTTTTAGCGGCTTGGGAGGCCGATGTTTGTTGCGGGTGCCTCTGAGTGGAGGCAAGACCAGGCAGAGGAGGACAGGGTCTAGAGGACCGCGCAGACAGGGAGCGCCTCCCTCGACTCGGGTAAGGGAGCAGAGCGAGCGGGATTTCCTTAGCAGGTACCTGGGGCAGCTGAGCCCGGATGTCTTCGGATCCCATGAATATACTTTCCAGGTGAGACCACGTACGCTGCACGTCGAACCAGGAGGAGATGACGGCGTCGGCCGTGGACAGCCTCTTCTGCCAGCCGGACACTTCCTCCAGGAAGAAGGCAACGTGCTTGGACGTCATCAGGTTCTGCAGCTGGACTTGGTTGTCCTCCAGGAGCTCGAGGAGGTCCTCGTCCGACCGCAGCTGGGGGACGCCGGTCCGCGGGTGGGGCTCGTACCGGAATTCCAGGCCGGCCCAGGTGGCGCACAGCTCCGTCAAGGTCTCCTCCGTGCCCATCTCTTTCACGGCCTTGTCCGCGATGCCCCGCACCTCGTCCTCAAAACGGTGCAGCTGGAGCCGCAGGAGGTCTGCCAGGGTGGTGCCCTCGCCCACGGTGAAGCTCACGCCCGTGGCCTGCACCAGCTGCCTCCAGTGCCGCTCCCGGATGGCCGGATTCTGCAGCTCGGCCACCGCCCGCAGGGAGCTCAGAGCGTCCGACACGGTGCTCTCCAGGCCCGCGAACGCGTCCCAGGCCCTGACCTCCTTGTCCAGGTTCCGGATGCACCTGGCGAACTGTTTACACTCCCGGTCCATGGCCTCCACGTTGACCTCCCTCCACGGGGCCGTCTCCCAGGCACGGATGCTGGAGGTGACCATCGCTATCGTGTCCCAGAGCTCCTTCAGCAGGCAGACTTCCTGCCTGCACTGGTTCAGCTGCTTGTAGTTGGGAATGCTGACCTCAAACAAGGCAGCAGACTCCGAGATGGAGGCCAGGGTCAGCTCCATCTGTCGGATCTCCAAGTGCCTGGCGTCCAGCTCGCGGTGAGGGGCGACGCTGTCGAACCTACGAAACAAAAACGTGTTCCTTCCGATGAGGAGGGCGCACGGGGGCCCGTGTCCCGGAATCGCCAGGGTCACGCCAGCTCAAATCTTTAAACGCCTAGTATTCTAGCCACGAACGGTAACTGGCACCGAAGCCCGGGAAGAAAAAGGCACTCGGGGTGGGTTGTGGGGGGGGTGGTGGGGGTGAGCGCGCACAGCTGGAGAAAAGACAGTTCAAGGTGAACAGGAGGCTTGGATCTTCTCTTCACACCTGAGAAGGGAAAACTAGTCTCCTTTTCTGCTGCTCCCTGGTCCCCCATCCAGGGATGAAGGGGACCATCCCTTTGTTCAAGCTCCCTTTGGACTGTGCTTCTGTGCACTGGCTCCCGGAGCACCTGACACAGAGGAACACGGTCATGTTCCCGTAGGTGCTGGAAAGCCAGAGCTCCCGCCAAGACTATGCATGGTAGGCGGTCTTTAGGTGAGAGGGCTGGCATCTAGAAGTCCAACCCTACACTCCCTCTGGGGCACTGGCTCTCAGTCTGGGTGACATGTTAGAATTTGCTGGAAGTTTTGAATGCTCTCCGTGCCCAGGCTGCTCCCCAGTCCAGTGAAATCAGGCTCTTTAGGGGTGAGACCCAGGCGCAGCTTGCCGGGTGGTTCCAGTGTGCCAGGTTGGCGTCCTTGACTGTGGGGAAGCTCACGTGGGTGGCCTGTGACGCTTCCAGGCAATGGCACTGCCACGTTTGGAAACCACGGATAGAGGACCTCGAAGACTGAGCACAGAGACCTCACCAGGGCCCTGTGCAGTCATCGTGCTGCTCCTTGGCTAGGGGCCTCAAGTCAGACTCCTAAGTCCTCCCTCCAAGTTGTCCTTGATCTCGAGCCTTAGACCACTCTGGCCTGCTCTCTCCTGAATCCCGGATGCCTCTGGTTCTTCACCCGACTTCTATCTCTGCGCTGTGCCCAGCTTTACGGTTTTTCTTCATAGGCCCCCACCCTCTTTTCTCTCTAGTGCTCACGGCAGGCACCCACCGCCCTCTCTGAGCCTCCCCAGTGCTCGCCTGCTTCATGGCCCTACCTTTCCAGAACTGCGTTCCCGGCCTGGCCTCTCTCCTCCAACATCAGCACCCCACACGCAGGGGCGTCTGGCTGGCTCAGTCCGTGGAGCACGCAACTCTTGATCTTGGGGTTGTAAGTTTGAGCCCCATGTTGGGTGTGGAGAGGACTTAAAATCTCGGAAGGAAGGAAGGAAGGAAGGAAGGAAGGAAGGAAGGAAGGAAGGAAAGGAAAGGAAGAACAAACGAACGAACCTGACGTGCAAAGGAACCCACGTGGGCAGATAACGTTTCTTTGGTCAGGGGCACGTGGAACCCAAGTGTGTAAGGAGCCTGTCGTTGTCCTCCCCATCACCAACTCTGGTTTCTTCTGTGAGCCTGGAGGGCCAATTTGGGGGCACCGCGACTTAAGGGGGAATACCACGTTCCTCTAAAATCAAAATAAGGTATCATGGGCTTCATCATCAAGGGGAAATTTGAGGGTAAATGAGTGATTTAAAGAACCAGTCGTTTCCTCCAGTCCAGCATGTGTGTGCATGCCCACGCACACGTACGTACGTATGTTCGTGTATGTTAGTTGGGTGGTGGAGTGTGGAGGGGAGGACGGCATACGACGTCTTTTTCTTGAACTGCCTCTCCTCTCAGTTGTCTTTGGAAATATCTGACTTGACGGATGGAAAGTAATCCTAATTAAAGCCATTTACCTGAACTGCTCGCCACTTAAGCCTAATTACCATGCAACACAATAACAGTTATGCATCCCATTAAATCAGTGTCAGATTAACTTTGATGCTTGCTACGTTTGATTCTGCTGGTTCCATCTAAATGGTTTTTGGCTTCTGTGCTACGGTTGTGGACTTGTCTTCAGAGGATGAGGCCGAACATCATGGTGCGTCTTCGCTGGTCTCCGTCCCCCCAGGGTTCTGGAACAGGACTGGAGGTTGAAGTTCTCAGAGCTGAAGGGGGACCTTTGTCTGTCTAGGCAAGGAGCTTCCTCCCCCCCACCCCCAGGAGAGGAGTGGGAAAAGAACCAGAAGAAATGAAATGTAATGTCCTCATGGCAAGTGGTCCGGTAGGAAAGATCAAGTGCACGGCTGGTTTTTTTCTCCTTATTCTTCATTTCCAAAGACTGATTGTTCGAGTGTGTAGGTTCTACTTTTTATCTTGACTGGAGCGACTTGGAAAGCGAATTTAGCTTCTTGCTGTTGGTACAAGATCCTTGTGGGCCAACGTCTAAAAGCCCACATTCTGTTTAATCTACGAATGGCGTATATAATTCAGGAATAACTTACGAGGGAAGTCGTGAGCTCTCAGGGTGTTCGGGGCACACACAGGAGAAAATGAATGGTCTTTCTAACCATTCTTTCCTTAGCCCGTGCGAACACCCTGAAATCAACAGCAGCATCTCAGATGTCTGTCAGAGGCGATTCCTTGTCAGACCTACTCCTGACGTCGTCTACCGCGTGGTGTAATTTTTGTTTATGGTTTAAATTTGTGGACAGTCATTTCCTGCAGCTGAGCACACATAAAAGTTAATTTGGCCTAAGTGGTGAAAAGAATCCCAAGACACGAGGGCAGGTAACCCTCTTCCCATTTCAAAACTCTGGTGCACACCGTCAGGATGTTCACAGCCCTGATTAATGTGCCTAATAAGCTGGAAGCGGTTCTCCGAATCCTAGGGGAGCGATACAGTAGGAGAACAAGAAAGCAATCGGAGGGAACGGGGTGCAGTAAGTCTTTGAAATTGAAACAATAATGCAAAAGTATTTTAATCTAAGGAGAGAAAGGCCTGCAATGTCCGGATGAATAAAAATTATAATGGAGAGAAATGGAAATTCGGCGCTTGTGCGTACGATCTCAGAAGAATGATCGACTCAGGCCTGACCCAGACGTAGGTGTGTGTGGAGGGAGTGGGAGGAGTGAGTGATTTAAATTAATTCTCGGGAAGCCAGTGGGTGGTAAATGTTTAACCTCAGAACCACACCTGTGTGTTCAAAAACAAACACACCCCTGCTTGGTACCTGACGGGAATCTTAAGACTCAACTCATCCGAACCGAGCCTGGGGTCTTTCAGTTCTTCCCCATCGGTGGCCCCCACCTGGGTGAGCAGTGAAAGAGTGCCTTGCACTTAGTGGTCCAGGATAGAAGACAGAGAACTGTACCAGTCTCTCCTCCCTGCTCACCTCTCGTACCCAATCAACACACCTATTCCCCTCCCAAATCTCTCTCCAATCTGTCCTCTCTCCATTGTCAATGCCATCGCATCAGTCCATGGGGACTGCTTCTCTCCTGGGCTGCCACCATCACCCTCCCACCGAGCACTTGGCCCTGAGTGGGTCTCGCTCCACCCCGTTCTCCGCAGCCACAGGCCAGTGGTGTTCACACCACGTTGTCCTCATGCTTAGGCTCCTCAGTGGTTGATCACGGTCAGAATCTGGTTCCGTGAACCGCTCTGTTCTCACCCCCATTTCCAGCATCCCAGCCATGCACACATGGGGCCATCCAACTGTTCCTCACGTTTTCACCCTTTGGTGCCTTTGAGTGTTCTGCTTCCTATGACTGGAATAACCTCACCTCCAACTTCTTTTCCCAATGGCTAATCCTCCCTTTCCCACTGGCTCAAGCACCATCTCCAACAGGGGGTGTGAACTGCCTCCTTGGGGGAGGTTAAAGTCGGCCACCCAATGGACATGTCTTTCGCTTTATTTTTTCTGTTTTTATTTAAAAAAATTTTTAATGTTTTTATTTATTTTTGAAGGGGAGAGAGAGAGACAGAGCATGAGTGGGGGAAGAGCAGAGAGAGCGGGAGACACAGAATCTGAAGCAGGCTCTGTGCTCTGAGCTGTCAGCACAGAGCCTGACGCGGGGCTCGAACTCACAAACCGTGAGATCATGACCTGAGCTGACGTTGGATGCTTAACTGACTGAACCACCCAGGCACCCCTGTTTTTGTTTTTTTGAGAAAGAGAGAGTGGGGTGAGGGGCAGAGGGAGAGAGAGGGAATCTTAAGCAGGCTCTATGCTTGGCATGGAGACCAACGCAGGGCTCTATCCCACAATGCTGGGACCATGACCTGAGCTGAAATCAAGAGTCGGATGCGGGGTGCCTGGGTGGCTCTGTCAGTTGAGGGTCCAACTTCGGCTCAGGTCGTTATCGCACAGTCTGTGGGTTCGAGCCCTGCGTCGGGCTCTGTGCTGGCAGCTCAGAGCCTGGAGCCTGCTTCGGATTCTGTGTCTCCCTCTTTGCCACTCCCCCACTCATGCTGTCTCAAAAGTAAACATTAAAAACATTAAAAAAAAGAGTCAGATGCTCAATCAACTGAGCCACCCAGACGCCCCTCCAATGAATGTGTCTAAGTACTCATTTTTGAAATTGTCTCTGAGGTCAGAAAGTATGGGTTTTTTTTTTTTTTTTGGTGGTTTTTTTTTTTTTTTTTTTGAGCGTGTATTATCTTAAAATCCCAGCACAATATCCTTTTTTGGTGACCCCACTGTTGAGACCACGACCTCTCCTGCTCTGCGGAAGCCTGAATCGTGTGAATGAATCCGATGAACTGGAAGAACAGGGTGAAGCTGAACTAATGACTTGTCTCAGGACTGCGACATGTTGTGGGAGATCTAACGATGAGCACTTCTTTTCTCCAGCTACTGAAGAGACAACAGACACCGTGCAAGCAAGACTGAGGACCCTCTTTCCTCACGCCTGCTGCACTGGGCTATCTGGAAAGCTTTGCTTTCTCTAGTTGTCATGCACGATAGTACCCAAAGGGAGGGTACCTTCAAGAAAGCTCTCTCGATCGTTCACGGAATCCGGCTGCCAGCCGGCTGAAAACACTAATGGTCTCCACTGAGCAGTAGCTCACCGAGATCGAGTGCTTTGGCTAAGAAAGCCGTGGGTAGATAACCTTGGTCTCGATGTGGGAAAGGCAACCGGTTATGTGCCATGGCATCATTCCTTAAGGTCAGGAAGACTGCACTCAAGGTTAGGACACTGAGCCAGAGAAGGCCACTGGAGCGTGGAGACATTCCTTTTGCTCAAAGGGGACAGTCCGCCTCCGGACTTTAAGAGCTGTGAAAAGTCCTTGAATCTGAATATGAGGAGTTAGCCAATTACTACGGAGTCAGGGAGCTCAGCTCGGAATATGCTGATACAGCTCAGAGTTAACAACTACAGTAAGACTTGGACACGAAGAAACTCAACCCAAGCAACCAGACATCAACCAGCACCTGACAGGCTTCAGGAGCCTAATGAGATACTTTGTTTTTCCTCCTCAAAGACAAGATCAGTGTGAGCTTAACCTGCAACATAATGAGGAACCGAAACTTGCACTCGCAGAGGAAAGTGCCACGGTCTGCATTTTAGAAACTCTTAAATGATCTAAAAGTGAAGGCGCCAGAATTAAAACCCTTTGCCATACACACAGCCTTAAAATGTCAAACACACAGATTTGCATACACCAAGCCCAAAAAGACAACAAGCCTTGAGTTGATTCCCACTAAGATTCCCTTCAGCCATAAATCCACAATTCTGCCCCAGTCCTGATGTTTTCTTGCCGAGGAGAAGAACGCATCACAATTGAAGTAATGTTTGGCTTTCCATGCTGCTGTGAGCAGCTCTTTTCAAAGTGTTCTCTTGCGAGGCCTCATCTGCATGTCAAATTCACAGATGCGGATTTGGAAAACCCAGCTCAGAGAAGCAATATCCACCCAGCCGGCAGATACGGGTGCTAAGAAAGAAAACAAACTCAATCGCAGCCATCACGTTACAAAAACGCCACCAGTCGATCAACACACGTACGCGACCTAACTACGAAGGAGGGATACCGCGTTTCCAACAGGTACGCAAAATCACACCAGCAAACGGACGTCGTGTCCTCTCGAGCAGTTATCCGGAGTCCATTTGGGAAAACATTTCACCACGTATCTTTGGGACCCTTCTCTTGAAAAATTTTGTAAGGGACAGTTGAGGCAGAGATATTAGTGTCTTTTCCTCTCTTTCTTACGGCTGTTGCCGTGGGTGTGATTGTTAACGCTAAGCAAGTATCACACAGCTCCATAACCCAACCCCCTCACCAGCTTTGGCTCTGCGTGATAGGTGTTAAAATTCAAATATCCAATTGCATGTCCAAAGGAGAGTCAAGAGAATATGTCTCAGACTCGGAAAGAACAGTCCCCAAAGAGCTTCACCAATGTGTGGTGCAACAGATGCTTCCTTGGAGCAAGGGCACGGCTCCAAAGACCATTATGCTAAAGGGATGTGGACTCATCTGGAATTTTACGCCCTGGCACGATTGCTTAAAAGGGAACCAGTTACTTCCCCATAGGGCAGCAAGGCTCAAACTTGGCTGCGCAGTGGAAGCACCTGAGGACCTTTACAAAGTACTGGAGGTCTTGTCCCCAGGTTGCTCTGCCGTTCCCTGCCTCGTGAAACATTCGTCTCGTTCTCTCTAGCCCCAGGTATGGTAATTGGGAGATAGGAGCCACTCGGTGTACGTTTGAGGAGTGGCGAATAGGAATAGGTAGGCCGTGCCCGTGCGCCATGCTGGGCGACCGACAGTTCTGATCTGCCTGGAACAGGGAATCTTCTCTGGATGTGAGACTTCCAGCGCTAAAACCAGAAGGGCCGAGGGAAAACCAGGATGGTTGGTCATCTTAGTGCCAGATACTACGCTAAATACTTGCAAAGATTACTTCTTTTTCTTTTAAGCTCATTTATTTAGTGGGGCACCTGGGTGGCTCAGTCGGTTAAGCATCCGACTCTTGATCTGGGCTCAGGTCACGATCTCACAAGTTCGTGAGATCAAGCCCTGCGTGGATTCTCTCCCTCTTGGGATTCTCTGCCTTCCTCTCTCTCTCTCTCTCTCTCTGTTCCTTCTCCATTCGTGCAGTCTCTCAAAATAAACTTAAAAATATTTTAAAAAATAGTTTGTTTATTCTGAGAGAGCGTAAGCAGGGGAGGGGCAGAGAGAGAGGATCCCAACCAGGTTCCATGCTGTCAGCACAGAGCCCGACGCAGGGCTCGAACTCGTTAACCACGAGATCATGACCTCAGCCAAAATCAAGAGTCGGACGCTTAACTGACTGAGCCACCCAGGCGCCCCACAAAGATTACTTCTTAATTCTGTCAACAACCTTATGAGACGGATGCTATCATGAACCCCATTTTACAGGCGAGGGAACTAAAGCTCAGAGCTGGTGAGCTTCCTGACACACAGTAAGTCATAGACTTGTGAGCAGATGCAAGGCGGCCTGAATCCAGAGTCCACATGCTTAATCATTACGCCCTATTTCCTTCCACTAACGTTGTGATGGTTGTTTTTTCGTTGTTTTTTTTTTTTTTTTTGTTTTTTTTTTTGGCTTCATTTGTTGCTTTAGCGTGTTGTCTCCCTGTGTGATGTTGTTTTTTTCTGGGTAAGTGCCCTTGACAGTTAAAAGGTTTGTCACTCTTCACCAGCATGGCGTTTTCCAGCGCTGAGATGTCTAAGCTCGTCCGTCCAAAACCGTAGAGGAAACCCGGCAGGAATCTCAGCGAGGGAACCAGAAAGTGAGTCATGGAACTGGAGTAAGGGAGGGGACCCATCTCAGCTGGTGCATCAGCAGACACGGGACATTGAGAACCAGCTTGGTCTCCTGGTTGGAGCCACTGACGCTGAGCAGAGGACCAGGGACAGACCCCTGGTACACTTCTCCATCAAGGTAGGAGTCATGCGAAACTCGTGTGTGCACAATGTGAGCACGTGTGAATGGGGTCATTCGTCCTATAATTGTTTTAAGACCCCTTATCATGAGTGGGGAGGGGTCTGAGCATTACTAAGCAGAGAGAGAAAGAAATCCTTCACCTCAAATCCTTCCTTTTTTTTTTAATATTTATTTTTGAAAGAGACAGAGTGGGAGTGGCGGGGTGCAGAGAGAGAGGGAGACACAGAATCTGAAGCAGGTTCCAGGCTTTGAGCCGTCAGCACAAAGCCTGACACGGGGCTCGAACTCACAAACCATGAGATCATGACCTGAGCCGCAGTCAGATGCTTAACTGACTGAGCCACCCAGGCGCCCCTCAAATCCTTCCTTTGGTCTTCCAAAGTGCCTTCCAAAATTATTTCAAAATGCTCCCAGCCACTTTTAAACCAAAAGAACACGAGTCTGTGGGTATTTAGAATACTAGTGGCTTTGTAAAATACCTTGTGATTTTTATCACACACAGTTCGGGGACACAGAACTTTGAGACTTTTTTTATTTTAAAGTTTATCTATTTGAGAGGGAGGGAGACAGAGGGAGAATCCCAAGGAGGCTCTGAGCTGTTGACACAGAACCCGACACAGGGCTCGATCTCATAAACCGTGATATCACGACCTGAGCCGAAATCAAGAGTCGGACGCTCAACCGACTGAGCCCCCCCGGGCGCCTCTAGGCTTCTGTTTTTAAGGCACGGTGTTTGTACAACCTTTGGTCATCTCATACGGGGCTCTGCTCACATCAGCACCAGGTTCTAACCAGCCGATCTAAGTGGGAGGGAAGACTAGAAACAAGTCTTCCCCTGCTAGACACCAGAAGATCCAAGAACTCAACCGAAAGACCCTCGGAAACCCAAAGACCGCCATGTTTACCAGAAAGGAGGCTGTGCTGATGCGGGGGGGGCGGGGGGGTGGGGGGGGGGTGGTCCATACCTGAAGGGAGCTTCCTTGCGGAATCGCTCCCAGAACTGCTGCTGTTCAACGTCAAAGGCTGAGCACCTCTGACGGAGGGCGGCCACCTCGTTCGCCTGCAGCGGGGCCACCTGCTGCCTCACAGCGATGGCCATCTTCTTCACATTGTCCCACTGCTCAGGCAGCTCCTGTGAAGACGACCACGGTCCGGTCAGACCCACGCTCTGCCCGCCCCCCCCCCCTCCCCGCCCATCACCCGCAGGCCTGAAGCTGGACAGGTGCCCAGACGTCTTTATCAACGCTAGGATGCCACACTGTGACGGCACGGCACGGCGTGCCCGTCCCCTACAGTTCTGACCCATCTCCGTGGTCGCCTGCTTGCCTGGCTATCATCTCCTTCTGACTCTGGCATATCCTCCTTGCCCTCAGCCTCTGACCCAGGAACCTGTGCCCTTTTTCTGTATTGCCTCACAGTACTGCTTGACTGGTTTCTTTCAGGCCCCACATCCCCTTAAGGTCATCTTAGCACTCCTCAGACCTGCTTTCCTTTCTCTGAATCAAAACTTTCAGTCATCCCTAAAAAAGAAAACACAAAACAAAACGAAACCGCCAAAACCCTTCACCCACGCCAATTGTCCCATCTATCGCCAACACCGTGCCGTTTCGTACTTACGGAGTTTCCGGAAGGCCCTCGAGAGCGCACAGCCATTACACGGACGGCTCCAAATCGCGAGCCGTGGGTCCTCACCCGGCCCCGTTTCTCATTCGCCTCGCCCCAACCTCACCCCACTCTGCGGTCCAGAAGCCTTCCCTCTGTTTCTTTTATTCAGGAAACAAACTGTGCACTGACCTCCAGCTGCTTCAACACCGTTTCTGGCAATTCTTGTTCATAGGTCTTTAGCAGCTCAATAGTGTGCTTCAAGGGCTCGAACATCTCATCAGTGCGGTTCTGCCACTCTTTCAGAGCCATAAGGTGCCCCATAATCTCCACCAATCCTTTGAAATCTCCTTTTTCAACTTTCTTGAGCATGCCGCTCTCGGTATTTCTTATAAACACTTCAAGGTCGGCCAAGCTAAGCGAAGCAAACAGAACGTGAAGAAGCCTTCCCCTCCCACTCCTCAAAAGGAAGGTTGATGTATTTCCCCGACAAGAACAGCCATCATTGCCAAACACTTTCCATGTGCCTAGCACTGTGCATACACTAGACCCGGACGGCGAGAATGCGGCCCTCTTCGGAAGGGTCACGGTCGTGTTTTCACAGCCGTGAAAGACAGAGACCGGGACCTCCACGCCGGAGGAGAGAGGACACGTTAGTGGGGCAACTGGTGAAATGGGAGGAAGGCCTGTACATCAGAAACTAGTTCTACACCAACATCAACTTTCTGGTTTTGAGAACTACCTTATGATTAGAGAAGATGACATCATTTGAGAAAGCTCAGGGAAGGTACACGTGAGCTCTGTACAGTTTTGGCAACTTTTTTTTTTTTTTTTTAAGTCTGACATTATTTCAAGGTGAAATTTAGGAAAAAAAATTTCAAAACACTGGGAAAAAAAAATATCATGGCCTCGAAAGTCATACCACACTTGGGTTTGATTTGGACACTCACTAGATGTGTAACCACGGCCAAGTCATTTAACATCTCTGGGCCTCAGTTTCCTCACCTATATGATTGGAAAAACTCACTGGTTATGGTGGGAGTTAAGTGAGATTCAGTCTTTATTTCAAAAATATTTATCGAGCATCTATTACATAGAATGAGATACATCAATGTATCAAATATTCGAGCCCAACCATGGCTCCAGTTTCTGGGGACAGAATGATAAATGAGAGAGGGGTGCCTGGGTGGCTCAGTCGGTTAAGCAGCTGACTTCAGCTCAGGTCATGATCTCACGGTTTACGGGTTTGAGCCCTGCATGGGGCTCTATGCTGACACCTCGGAGCCTGGAGCCTGCTTCGGATTCTGTGTCTTCCTCTCTCTGCCCCTCCCCCACTTGTGCTCTGTCTCTCAAAGGTGAATAAACGTTAAAAAAAAAATAAAATAAAAAAAAGAATGATAAATAAGGGAAACTAAAGCTCTGACTTTATAAAGCGTACATTCTCATAGGAAAAATAGGAAACAAATCAATGAAGTAAATTGTATAGTTTCACATGGCTTTGAGAGCTATAAGGGGACAGAGACTAAGGAGAGTCCAATTTTCTGTGGAGTGGTCAGTGAAGGTCTTTCTACAGAGGTGCTAGTTGAGCAGAAATGGAAATTGTGTGAAGGAGTAAGCCACAGAAAGAAAAACGGGAAAAGAGCTTTTGAGTACAGGGCACAGCATGAGTCAAGGCACCGAGGCTGGATTCAGTCTGACATATTTGTTTTTTTTTTTGTTTTTTTGTTTTTTTTTTAAATTTTTTTTCAACGTTTATTTATTTTTGGGACAGAGAGAGACAGAGCATGAATGGGGGAGGGGCAGAGAGGGAGGGAGACACAGAATTGGAAACAGGCTCCAGGCTCTGAGCCATCAGTCCAGAGCCCGACGCGGGGCTCGAACTCACGAACCGCGAGATCGGGACCTGGCTGAAGTCGGACGCTTAACCGACTGCGCCACCCAGGCGCCCCCAGTCTGACATATTTGAAGGAAAGGAGAAAGGTCAGCGGGCAGAAACAGACGAGGAATCGGGGAATCACGGAGGAGGGGTGAGGAAATCAACAGGGGTCAGACGCTGCAGGGCCTTGTTCGCCAGGGCGAGGAGTCCAGATGGAGTCCAGATTTCATCATAAGCACGAGAAATCTGAGTTGGAGAAGTATGTTTTCAAAAAAAATTTTTTTTAATGTTTTTGAGACAAGGAGAGACAGAGCATGAGCAGGGGAGGGGCAGAGAGAGAGAGAGGGAGACACAGAATCCGAAGCAGGCTCCAGGCTCCGAGCTGTCAGCACAGAGCCCGACACAGGGCTCAAACCCACGAACCGTGAGATCATGACCTGAGCCGAAGTCGGACACTCAACCGACTGAGCCACCCAGGCCCTGGAGAAGTAGATTTTCAAAAGATCTGTAGCTGGAGGAGAACAAGTTGTAGCCGGAGGTGGTGATGGTGGCATTGGATATGGAGAGACAGGAATGGAAGCCAGGAGGGCATTTAGGGGCTCTAGTGGTTGTGACAGAAGATGATGATGATGATGTCGACTTTGGCCTGGAAGGTGGACTGGAGCGGTGGTCAGGTTCAAGGTAATTTCACACGGAGATGCTAGAGGACCCACTGATGGACTGGAGGGGAGACACGAGGGGATGAGAGAAATCAGTAACAACTGCTGGAGATGGGGTCAATGGTGATGTCATGTACAGATTTGGGGAAGAACTGGCGAAGACTGGGGTTTTCTGGACGGAGAAGGTGGAGGAGGAGTCAGTCTTAAATGTATTGTGTGTAAGATGCCTCACAGACACTGGACACCTAGGGGGGATATCTGTGGGTCAGTTGCCTGGAAGTCTTGAGTTCCGGAGAGCTGAGGCTGAAAATATAAATTGGGTAGTTATCGGCACACAGGTGCATTTACAGGGACGAGTTAGGTCTCATCTGGAATAAGAATGTAGGTAGAGTTCAGGATTGAGATTTCAGAAATGCATCTTGATGCCTAGAAGGGGAGATGAGCCCAGCCAAAGAGACCAAGAGGGCACGGCCAGTGAGACCGAAGACAAATAATAAAAGTGAGGTATCCCGAAAGCCACACAAAGAAGCTCTTTGGGAAAGACAGGATAATCAGCTATGCCAAACGCTGCTGATGGGTACGAGTAAGATGAAGGTGGTCATGGCCACAGGATTAGGCCATATGGCCATCACTGGTGATCTTGACAAGGGTGGTTTCGGTGGAGTGGTCCAGGAAAGCCCTGACTGCCGAGCAACCGGGAGAGGAAGTTGGAGACAACTGTACAATGCATGCGATAATATGGATAAATAACCCCTCCACCCAAACCGTGAAAATGCATCGCTAAAGTGGCAAGAAATCAAGGAATCTCTGGAGGCTGAAGGTGTAGTGAAAGCAAGCACTGAGTAAGGCTCCCATCGGTCTTTCCTGTGATGGTTTCTACTCAACACTGGAGACCTTGAGCTGCTATTCTGATGGCTTTGTGGGATGTGGGAACCTGGTGATTCAGCCTGGGGCCCCCACGAGCTGAGGAGGCTGGTAGGAGGCTGCATGTGAAATCTCGACACCGTAAGGGCGTATGAGAAACAAAACACAGAAAGGGTAAGGATGGAAGTTTCCTGCTTTCTCCTGGGCACTAAGTACACCCCTGCAAGTTGAAGTATAGGTGGTCTGGGGTTGGAAGAGCCCCTCGAAGACTGGCAGAAACAGATACAGACCTTTCCTGGAGGAATGCAACCAGATTCCAATCCTCAAAGGATTCCCGCAAATAAAATCCCAAGGAACGTGACGCTTACAATCAAAAGTCATGAAGTACACAAGGAAAAAAGTCACCAAGAGTTGGAGCCAGCAGAAACAGTGGGATTCAACCTGCAAAGACTTCAAATATTGGAAGTCCAACTATAAAATCGCAATCTTTATTTATTTATTTTTTTTTATTTTAAAAAAAAATTTTTTTTTCAACGTTTATTTATTTTTGGGACAGAGAGAGACAGAGCATGAACGGGGGAGGGGCAGAGAGAAAGGGAGACACAGAATCGGAAACAGGCTCCAGGCTCTGAGCCATCAGCCCAGAGCCTGACGCGGGGCTCGAACTCACGGACCGCGAGATCGTGACCTGGCTGAAGTCGGACGCTTAACCGACTGCGCCACCCAGGCGCCCCTAAAATCGCAATCTTTAACATATTTTAAAAAAAAACCAAGAAGTTCCTGTTGAAGTGTCTTGTTTAATTGTCTCTGACCCATGTAGCAGGAAAAAGTGCCTTCCTCGTAGTTTCTCAGACACCAATTCAAGACGAAGAAAAAATACCTTCATCCTTCTGAGCACAATGTATCAGTTAAGACAGAAATGCTCTCGAGGTGCCTACGTGGCTTGGTCGGAAGAGCGTGTGACTCTTGATCTCAGGGTTGGGAGTTCGAGCCCCATGTTGGGTGTAGAGATCACTTAAATAAACAAAACTTAAAAAAAGAGGCAGAAATGTTCGCTGTTAGGAATCACCCTTCAGAAGCCTAAATAAGCACCTAGTCTCCATAGGTCACAGTTCCTGCCCCTGACCTCGTATTTTAAGTTCTAATATAAATTCAGCATTGCCTGAACTGGCAGGAAGAGAGGCGATTTCAGAGGCTCTCCAAATATATCCAGACTCTGTGATCGTGCATGGACCTTTGCCTTCTGAGAAGTGACAAAACTTACTGAAAATTATAGGCTGTAATGGCATTACTTTGTGAAGAGAAGCAGACAAAGCCTTTAATATGTGTTTTAGCAATTCAAAAATGATCATACTGTGCTATGCCGACAGCCAATTCCAGGAGAAAGAAGCTAATAATTGTTGGTAGGTCTTTATGTTACCCTTAATCTATGGCACAGAGAAACAAAACAGTTTTAAACTGTCAAAGCAGAAGTTGTCTTAAGATCATCTTCTAATGAATGTACTCTAAAACTGAAAAAAATTGAGGGGCACCTGGGTGGCTCAGTCAGTTCAGCATCTGACTTCAGCTCAGGTCATGATCTCGCAGTTCGTGGGTTCCAGCCCTGCATCGGGCTCTGGGCTGACGGCTTGGAGCCTGAAGCCTGCTTCAGGCCTGATTCTGTCTCCCTTTCTCTCTGCTTCTCTCCCACCGACAATCTGTCTCTCTCTCAAAAATAAGCATTTTTTAAAAAATTTTTTAAAAAACTGAAAAAATTGAATGAAAGAGAACCCTTGATATTTGAGCAAAGAACAAGAAAATACAAAAATGAGTAAGCAAAATTTTATAAAAATGAAACAGAAGGTCTAAAACTGGAACGTATAATTAAAATTTAAAGCTCAATGAATGGATTCAACGGGAGATTTAAACAAAGCTGAGAGAATGAGACCACTGGGTGATAAAAGCGGAGACGTTATCCAAACTGCAGTGGAGACAGAAAGCTGTAAATTATGAAATTCATTAAAATACATGGACGAT